TTACAGATCAATTTTTATATGAAAATCAAAGCATAAATTTTATTTTCAATTTTTATGATATAAATTAAAAATAAGAATTATGGCTTAACTTTTATTATAAACATTGAAAATAATAATTGAATTCAAATATCTCTTGAAGCAAAGGAGCTAGATTATATGTAGGCCTATATATATATGTATATGATTTACGCATTAATGCCTTTCGAATGATATATAATATGTACATATATTTATTATATGTTAAGGCACTAGCCTTGTGCACTTGACAGTACCTATTCAGCAGGTAATGTGAGGTAATGTTTATATGTATTTATTATTACGATCCCTAGTACCCATAGACATAACACTATATAAGTTTACTATTTATCTAGTTCTAAGAACTTTATTTTATTACAAACTCTGCAACTAGGTTGGATCTTCTATCAGTCAACACAAACTTAAGAGCCTGGGCGGCAGACACTGAGTAAACTTACTTTAAAGTCGGTCTTTTAAGACGGTCTTTTCGCGCTCGTCTATCAAAATACAGTCGACCCTCGTTATTTCGAAATTCAAGCGACTCTTAAAATATGACGAATTTTCGAATGTTTGAAATATTAAATGGTTCGAAATTTTGAAGAGAAAATAAATAAAACTTCAAATTATCAAGGGTTTTGAATTCATTTATACGGATTTCTTTCGAAGCGCATTGTTGGTACTCAGGCCTTTCAATAATTTTTGTAATAAGGAAAAGAGCCTAAAAAGAACCTTTGTAAGTTATCCAATGAGGCTCTTGCTACCTTAACTGACACCTCTGACAACGGCTCTGATGTATCGCCTTCACCTTCATTGTTACTCTTTTCATTCGTATTTGTCGTAGATAAAATTTCATCATCGGTTAGGGATCCTGAAAAAGCAACATCTTCATCCACTTTTGCAATTAATTTCTTCAATTGTCAAACATTCATACTTTTTATTAATTTGATTTAATAAAAAATTTTGAATGTACCTATGAATGTATATTTTACGCGTAGCATGTAAACAGTAAAATTAGTTTCGAGGGAGTCCCAAAACTCAAATTCAACAAATTCGAATACTAACACACCATGAAACTTGAGTTCTTAATTGTCGGGTGTTTGACCATATGAGTGCGGAATGTCGCGTCTTACCAATGATTTTTACTATACTATATGTATATATGTATGTATATATGTATGTTATACAGACATACAAAAACACATACACACATACATACACAGACATCCACACGCACGCATAACTACGCGGTCTGCTAACTGCGAAGTAAGCTGCAACTACGCTTAGACTGCAGTGCGAGTGACCTTATGAGAATTTATTTGCTTTTTGTAGTGGTGCTATTTTCATGAAACTTTCAAAACGTGATCATAATATTCACAAAACTCTAGTACTTAAAATAGGTTTTTACAAATTGGGGGCTAAGGGGCGTGGTCTCAAAAATCTGTAAATTACAAAATCTTCGTATTCATCAAATGTATGTACACAGTAAATCTGAAGTCTCCAGGTCTAAAAGTGTTCAACTGAAGCTGAAAGAACAAAATCAATTTATCGATTATTCTCGATACAAATGATATCGGATGAGTTATCCAAAGAATATGATCAACTCGTATTACTTTGGTATACACGAGTATGCCTATAAAATTTCACATCTCTTATATCTTCTGAAATCGACTTGCTCATACGGACGGGCTGACGGACAGACGGACAGGGCTAAATCGCCTCAGCTCGTCGCAAACACATTTTCTGCAAGCGTTAATTATTTACATGACATAAGCGTCAGTTAATGAAAGTCGTAGGCCTATTTAGGTTTTAGAAAGTGCCTAGGTGCATGAAGTATATTATTTTGAATGAAACATATTAAAATAAAATATTTATTGATTGTATCTCAACTTCATATACATACATACATATATATGTTTGCAATGTAAATTTGACTTGATAATTAAATGAATGGGTAGATAATATAAAGCGTGTTCCATCAAATTAATGCATCCAAATTCTGACGTACGACACTCATGCATTCTCTATTCTACTAAATTTAAATAAATATTAACATTGTGTGTTTCATATACAATTTGTTCTTTGTGTAGATATTAGATCACTTTAAATAACTTTAAAATATATTATATAGT